AGATGACATCAGTTCTCCCAAAAATCTTACAGGCGAAAATGACGGGCATGTCCCTAACGTAAGCCTRCCAAGCRTAGGCAAGGCTAAGCCTGTGCTGAACCGTAACAGGCTCCCCCACTCAATCCATTGTCATCCTCGACAATGGGTCTTCCTTGTGAATGGGCATCTGTGTCCCGCGCCATCCACTTCCTTGCTAGTTCCAGGGCTCGTCTGGCTATTCCGGGTCTTGCCTATATTGGTGTCCATTTATGGGGACGGAACCATTTCACCATGCTGACCTGCCTGGACTTCACCCCCAGTGTCGAGGTTACTCAAACCGCGCAATGGCTATGCCGTTGAATGTGAAAGAAGGGCCCTCGAAGAAAAGTGTGTGGTGCTTTGCGGAGGTCCGCCCCATGTATCATCTTACCTCAAGGCTCAACCGTCTTCTTGGCAGCTTTTCAGTGATGCTACCGAACACGTTGATAGGTCTACTCCTGTTGTTGGCGATGGATGCTGGGGGTACCCTTTCTCCATGCTGGCCTGCAGTCTTCACCTCGCCCTGTGTGGGTTACTCAAACCTAGTCATGGCTTATGCTCTCACGGCCCTCGAAACTACGCTTCACCTCGCTGGTTCGGGCTACATGTTCCCTCCGAGGGGGCCCCACTGCTGCTGCCTCAAGGAGATCTGACCGCTTCAAACATGAGTGTGGCAACTTTTACCCATGAGTTGCCGAACATGCACTCGCCTTGTGATGAGCTTCTGCTGCTGCAAGTGTTCAACCTGGAAACTGAGCATGTCCACCTGAGACTTTGCCGGTGTAGGGCCGCCATGCTCCAACGGCTAGTGTAACCGCATTCCTAACAAGACCCACGCGTTTGCCCCCGCATGAGGACAACAACCAATGCGTCTGCACCCGCAAGGGAAGCTGTTTTAGGGTCATTGGAATGGGAACGCGAATATTGAATGGCCTCTTGATAGGCCAGATGAACAATCTGCTCGGGCAGTGTACCCACATTCCTATCAAGGCTCACGCGTCTGCCACCGCATGAGGACAGCAACCAAAGCGTCTGCAACCACAAGGGAAGCTGTTTTAGTGTCATTGGAATGGGGATACGAACTATGAAATGGCCTCTTGCCAGGCCTGATTTGAAATCTGCTCGATCCCGGGTGGAGGTGACTAGGGACCGCACCCCACAAAATGCTGCTTGTCGAAATAACCGCTTCAACTTGAAGGGATGAGAGATCCATCCTATGGACGCCCAAAGATTGCGGAATAAGGGGCGAATTTCAAAAAATTTATCTCTCCCTCCAATTGGGAATCGTATTCCCTATTTAGAAAATCATATTTTCAAGGATCAATCTTGAACCATAAACTG